CCCCGTGGATACCAAAGTCCATGGACTCTCAGTCTCCATTAAATACAATGGCACAGTAAAATGGTGTCCCTCATATACAATGGCAGAATCAAGGCTTGCTTTTTAGAATGTATATATATTTTAAAAACATTTTTTTCAAGCTGTAGATGCTTGAATCTGTGGATGAAACATCTGTGGATATAGAAGGCTGACTAGCAAAATCAAGGTCTGCTTTTTGGAATTTATATATTTTTGGAATATTTTCAAGCTGCGGAGAATCGAATCCGTGGATATGGATGGCTGACTATAGTAATGCTTGCTTGGTTCCCCCTTATTTAAAGGGATTATTTATCATTTCAAGTTCTTCCGGAGTCCCTGAGGTGATGCACTTTTTAAAAAAGCACCTTAAAAACATGAATTAAAGAAGTGAAAACCAAACCAAACTCTCAAGGCTTCTCTTTAAGAATTGCTCTAAAAAGAGTTTTTGAAAACAGCCCCTAATTTTAAACGCCAAAGGTCAAGCAAAAGAGCATCGTCTTCACTGGAAATGCAGGTCTAAATCTACACTGTAGAATTAATGCGGTTTGATACTGCTTTAACTGCCATGGCTCCATGCTATGGAATTCTGGGATATGTAGTTTGTTGGGGCCCCAGAGCTCCCTGACAGAGATGGCTAAATGTCTCACAAAACTACAAATTCCAGAATCCGATAGCATTGAGCCATGGAAGATAAAGTGGTGTCAAACTGCATTATTTCTGCAGTGCGGATTAGACCTCAAAAGCCATACCAGCTAGCCTGGCCTTGGGATGGAGGTCTACAGAAAAGGCCCTGCCAGCCCAGCCTCATGGGATAGCAGATACCCAACACAGCCCCCATTGATGATCAAAGATTTTGAAAAGCTCACATAGGAAGAGATGGGCTTTCTAATACATTGGCTCCCCCTCCTCCTTTGCTCGGCTCCTCCAAAAGCTTTCTAAAATATTCCAACCCATTTTGAGATTAAAATGCAGCAATTGATTTCATGTCCCGTTTTGCAATCTGGCAGCTCGAAATCTATTCAGCAAAGGAAATGGCCTCAGAGGCAGTCAGGCAGACCCTGGCAAACCTTGCCCTTCCCAGTGGGCTCAGGCAAAAGCAAACCGCTGCATCATCTCCCAGATTCTCTGTTCTTCCTCCTCATCGATAACTGTTGCCACCTTGATCACACTCTGATGTTGTCTGGCTACACTCATGTCCCGGTTTTCATTTGCACGATGTTGGAGGCTATGATCCTGGGAGACAGACTTCACCTTTGGTTCCAGGTTCCAGCAAAGGCATCCAAAGTAGCCAGAGGAGTGGCAACCTCTCTGCTTAAATCTTAAATTCTCAGTTTAAGAATTTTCGCTGATACTGTATGCCTTCAAGTCGTTTCCGATTTATGGAGACTCTACCACGGGGGTTTCTTGGAAAGATTTGTTGCAATTGCCTTCCCCTGAGGCTGAGAGCGTGTGACTTGCCCAAGGTCACCCAATGGGTTTCATAGCTGAGCTGGGAATCAAACCCTAGTCTCCAGGGTCGCAATCCAACACTTAAACCACTACACCACACCGGTGCCCTCCAAGAATTTTTCCTCCAGCTTGCAAATTTCTAACATTGTCAATTGTGGGACATTGAAAATTTGTCATCACATAGAGATTTTTCTGCTGATCCAGAGGCTAGAACACAAATCAGGGGATTCAAATTGCAAGAAAGGAGATTTCCCTTTAAACATTAGGAAGAAGACCTTGACTATAAGAGCTGTTCAGGAGTGGAATAGACTGTCTCAGAGGGTGGTGAAGTCTCCTTCTTTGGAGGTCTTTAAACAGAGGTTCAATGGGCATCTTTCAGGGGTGCTCTAGTTATGTCTTCTGAAAAGGCAAGGGATGGAATAGATGATCTTCGAGGCCCTTTCCATCTCCTCTGATTCTATTATTTTACTTGCTATGTTTGCATTTCCCTGGTGACTTTACCTGCCCCTTTTCTTTGGATGCATGAACTAAATTTCCTAATTCTCATCTGAAGTTTTAAGTGACCGCAATGCCAGGAGACGGAGGGCTAAACTTCTGCATCATTTGGGATGCAGAATTCATATTTGGGAAGGACAATGTCCTCATTTTGTCCTCCCTTCACCTCCACACGTGCACCTTTTTTTTTTTTAAAATAACCTGCCTTTTCCCAGGATTCAAGTCTTACAAAGGTTAAAACAGACATAGTTTTTTTTAAAAATAAAATAAAATAAAAACCTGGGACCATCCATGTACATGTACATCCTAATGAAGTTTGATATAGTAACAAACCACATCTTCCAGCAGGAGAAGCTAATACAGCAAGTCTGAAAATTATATTTCTAACTTTAATTGCATGCCTAATTGAAATTGTAAAGATAATTTTTCAGACACCTTTTCTATTGTATAGAAATATAATATATTCCAAGGCTGTGGAATCAAAATCAGAAGCAATTTTGGCTCAGCAGAAATGTACCAACTCTGACTTCAAAATAAAAACTTATAATATTGTAACAATATATGGAAAATATATCATTTTATACTTGTGTTTTACCCCCTTTTTGAAATTCATTAAATGCCTAGATTGTTGTGTGTTTACTCTCATAGGAACTTAAGCAAGTGTTCTTGTTCAGAAGTTTTAACCAAATAAATATATTTTTCATTCTATCAATACAAGCAGCTTCGTGATTTATGCTGTGTTCACAAAATGCCTTGTGCCACTATTTTACTCCAGTAAATTTGATATTGAGCCAGCATGGTGTAATGGTTTGAGTGCTAAACTAGGGCACTAGGAAACCAAGGTTCAAATCTCCATTTGACAACGGAAACACACGGGGTGTCCTTGGACAAGTCACACTCTCTCAGCCTCAGAGAGAGGCAAGGGCAAACCCCACTTGAACTACTTCATCCAAGAAAAACCCTGTTATAGATTTGCCTTAGGGTCGCTGTAAGTCAGAAAACACGCAACGACAACAAATTTGTTATTACTCTATCTATTTGCTATTTGTGACGGAGTCCGAGCCAGACAGTAGAAAAATTGAGGAGTCCAAAGTTTGGTGCACCAACAGCTCTGGTGGCATCCCATGAAAACACACACCGAATTCTTACATAATTTTTAACACAAGGTCCAGAGAGGCTTCTTTACAAGAAAAGAAACTCAATAAATTTGTTTATTTTAAATCTATTTTTAGGACACCTTTCCTGGGCATTGCCAATGGGTAAAACTAAGTTTGCCACCAGATTTTATTAAGAAGGATGGGGATCATCAAGCCTACCAGATGTTGTTGGGATTGCAATACACATCATCCTTCAACATAGGGTGCACTAGTGAGGGCTGATGAAAGTTACAGTCCAACAACATTTGGAAGACTGCATGGGACCCTGACTTAAGTCATTTTTGGAGAGCCAGTTTGGCATAGTGGCTTGAGCTTTGGATTATGACTCTGGAGACCAGGGTTCAAATTCCGGCTTGGCCTTGTAAAACCATTGGGTGACCTTGGGCAAGTCACACTCTCTCCACCTCAGAGGGACGCAAAGACAAACCCACTCTGAACAAATCTTGCCAAGTGAACCCCAAGACAGGGTCACCATTTGGAAGTTGGAAAGGACTTGAAGGCATACAACAACAACACATGGGACTCATCCCTGACTTCAAGTGATCTTTGCAGCTAATATTGGAGGCTCTTTCTGAGGCAAAGCCTCTCTTTTGGTGTAAAAAGATGAAAAATGTTGCATTAGGTTACATTAACTAACTCTTGCATAGGTAGGGTTAGCATGGGCCTAACAGAACCACAGCACGGAAAGATTAATTTTGGGACTGCAAATCCCAGAAGCCTCCTCCAATGAGGCCCATACATATATTTCCATCAGCAAGGACTAGGCTGGCAACTGTCAACCACAGGACATTGTCGTCAGCTGCTCCCAAACTGTGGAATGACCGGCCAGAAGAGATTCAACCACAACATGGATGCTGGGTGCGCTGTCTTGAGTTTAAAACGGCACTAAAAGTCCAGTCTCTTCCAGCAGGCCTATCCATATGATTGCTAAATTGTGCATTTTAAAATTATAAATGTTGACGTACGGACTGATCGTTTGAATATTATTGGTTTCATATCAGCATGCAAAGGGATCTTGACTTGTTGCACTTTTGAGACTAACTGAAAGAAAGAAGCCAGTAGCATGAGCTTTCATGGGCTTGAGTCTACCAGTTTCTTTCTTTCAGTCCATCTCAAAGGTAATGATATACTGATATATGTTCTTTTAGTGGTGTCATGTATTGTATTTTAGTCTCTACAACCTACAAGGGGGAGATGTGGCCCAACCTCCCTTGTTGGTGGAATGGTGCCCGGATGGTTTGTCAAGATGCCAGTGCGGTTCTAGCAGGGGGTTCTGCAATGCGGCAAAGCTCACCCCCATCGGAGGCTCTGGATCACCAACACATCAGGATGACATTCCTGTGGCATTCATTTTTGAGAAGTCCTTTGCAAAAAGCGACCTGACAGCTGTGTGACAAACAACCGGAAATATACAGGCATTGACAGGTTGGGAAATCAGAGCGGATCCTTGACATGGAAGGGGCCAGAACACATCCCCAAGAAAAGCAAAGGAAGATGTCAGTGAGAAAGCAACCTAAACCAAAAGGAAGCAGGAATGGACATTGGCCGAGATCCTGAATCAAGGAGACAAGAGTGTAAATTTTCACTCACGGAGCTATGAGATGATGACGTGTTAGTGAATTGCCACAATGCACAACGGAATCTTCAAAGAAATGCAAAAGCAAGATTGCAATGCTTTGTGTGCATCAGCATGTGAAATATGCGATCTGCCTGTGTGACGCACAATGGCACCACTTGTGGAATGGCACCCCATGTTCAGCACTGCTTCTGCAACTTTCAACTGAGTATGGATATCACACCATGCCCCCCAAGTGTGCAACCACATAAGTAAGGGCACTTATGCATGCATAAGTTTCTAGCCAAGGTACCAGTCTTTTTCTTCTTGGTGGCGGAGGGAAGGATGGATCTGCAAAACCTTGCCAGTCATTCAGCTATTAACATTGTCCAGTTATCTACCTTGTTATCTATCCTCCTCGCTCCATGAGTTACCATCTTCACAATCCTCCTTGAAAGCATCCTGCCCACACAACCTCCCAAATGTACATGGCACATCAGGGCAGAAGCAACTGATCTCCCCAAGAGATAGTGCCAGGTCTGAAGAACAGGACTCAGCACCTCCTGTGCCCACCTGCATTGGCAGAGGGGGGAAAACTGGGTCACAGAAGCAGAGCAGGAGGTTGGAAATTTCCTGTGCCCAAGACTGGTATTACCCAGGGTGGAACAAATCTGGAAATGCTGCCAACAGAGTCTAAGGTTGCCTTTCTTAGCAGAAGATATGAGAGGATTAGCAGCCTCTTTGCCCTGGATGTGTCACCCTTGAGCTTTTAACACCACACTTACCTTAATGGGGAGGATTGACAGCGGCTTGGGAAAGTTACTTTTTTGGGACTTCATCTCCCAAAATATCCCAGGAGCAGGTGTGTAGCTACTGGGGGGGGGGTTTGAGGGTGCCAAAATGAGGGAATTGCCCCTCCAAAGAAGAATTCTGTCCCCCAAAATGACTTTCTTTTAGTTCCTACATTCCCAGCATGGCAAAGAATGAGACACTGAAAATCATTTACACCTAGATTTCTGGTATTTGCTGCATTTGCCTTTCATGGAATCAATCTTAAGAGTTGGAAGGGAACACAAGGGCCATTTATTTAGTCCAACCCCTTGGTTACTTTGCCTGCCCACTTTCTTTGGATGCCTGAAGTCTTACTAAATGCTTCATTGAAGTTTCAAGTTATTGCAATGCTCAACATTTGGGGATTGATGGAAAAATCTGGGCAGGGGGTGCATTCTTATTTGGAGAGCAATGTCTCCCCATAGCTACACTCCTCCTCAACAGCCAAGGTGACCAGGGCATTCAGAGAAATGCAGTCCAAAATGTAACTTTCCCAAACATTAAAACAGGAGTAGGAACCAAATGCTGTTGGACTATAATCCCCAGGTGCCCTAGCAAGCATATCATGCAGGGGGTCCATCATCTGGAAAGATATGCAGTTCCTATCCCAACTAAGAATAGCAGAGTATTGTTGTCTGTTGCTCCCCAAAAATAAATGTGCTGCTGTTACTTGCCATCATCACTTTGGACCCTCTGAATGAGAGACCACAAAAGAGACCCCTATTATGAACAGGCTTTCTCAGGTCTTGCAAACCCCAGCCATCACATCCTTGATGGAGTCGTCATGCTTTTGTCAAAAGTCTGCAATAAACCAAACACCTATGGCTTTGCACTAGCTTTGGTCGCTTTGCACTAGCAATGCCATCCACTGGTTTGCCTAGCTAGTTAAAGAAGAGAGGAAGGGAGCACTAGAAGTGCACACCTGGAAGAAAATATGGAAAGTGTGATGGAAAAAGACCCATCACAGAGCCAGGGATTGGTGCATCTCTCTGACAACAAGCGGTAGGAAATTCTTGCTTGCAGCCATTCATGCTGGCCAGCACAGGAAAGTTCACCATTATCAATCCAACGATGGATGGCTCATGGTAGTAGGTTTAACAAACCCATCTTAACTGCCTGCTCAGCCACTTCCGAAATTCAACTGAGAATGCAGTGATGGTCCATTCCCTTTCCTAGATATGAATTACCGTAGTTTCCCACCCAGTAGAGGCACATGTACATACAAAGTGAACTATCATGATGTTCTCACAGATGGGGTCAACTTTAGGTCTATATTCAACTCAGAACACCTGGAATTCCCCATGGCCTGAGACTAGATCTGCTACCCTTTCTTCCTTTCCTTGTACTTATATGAGCATGCTGCTAAATTTTATTCTCACAGGCAACAGTGAATAACTTTGGTATTTTTTCTCACTGCAGTTTGGCACTCATTCTTCACCAAATAAATAAATAAAGCAATTTTATTTTATTTTATTTTTTGCAGAAACTGTTATTTTCTAGGCAGAGATGCCCTTTTCTGTGCAAAAAAGAATGCTTTCTGCAGAGGATTTGTGCATAGAAAGTTTCATTTCCTATGCAAATAAAGTCTATTTATTTCCAGCTCCACTTGCCTTCTGTTGGAAATGTGGGCAATTTGTGAAGTTATTTTTTGTGCAGAACTCAAACTGCAAAGATTCTCATCTGTCCAATATTTTCCACACCATTCTTAGACTGTCATTTGGATATTTTTGAATATCCTTTCCCTACATAATTCTACAACCAACTGGCCAACACAATCTCTAAGGGAACAGCTCTCGGATTCCAGCATTCTAGAAGTTGTACATCTCTTATTCCAAAACGAAGGCTATTTTCTAAACTCTGGTCCAAATACCAGCTTAGCCACAGAGTCTTCATCCATCCTTGCGGTGACCTGTTAACATGCCACCTCAGTTCCCATCTGTAAAATGGGAATACTGTCAAGAAGCTCCGCAAAAATGCAGTAAAAATGGTTGAAACAAGGCTGGAAGTTGAGAGATAGTCCCTTAGAGTTTGTGTTGTCTGGCAGCAAATCCAGTCCTAAACAAGGAGCAAATATTGGGAGTTGTAAGTTGAGAAAAAGTAAGTTTTCCAGTAGTAAGGATGAACTGACAGCTGCTCTATCTTCTGTTCTCTTTTTCTTCAATGAATGAGTTTTCCACCCCCTTTCCAGCTCCACTCGCCTTCTGTTGGAAATGTGGGCAATTTGTGAAGTTATAGTTGCAAACCTGTGCTTCCGTTGTTTTTCCTGCAATCCAGCCTGGATTTTTCCTTCACTTGCATGCAGGAAAAATGAAATTCAAAGCAAGAATGGTGCATTAAACTACCAAAAAAATGGGAACAACACACATATTGGGTTCATCTGGACCCTTTTTTGCAGTTCCTAATGCAATCAATGCGCAGATGCACTCATGTGCTATAGTAAAGAAAGACCACAACTTTAGTCGACTAACCACATAGGCCCAGGGGTAGAAAGAATAGAACTAGGAGTAGAAAGAATACCTATTACTACATTTCCCTCACTAGATTAATACGTTTCCTGATGCTGGAGAAACCTTTCCCAAGACAAACAGAGCAACACTGATTTCAGAAGTCGTATGGGAAATTATTCTGCACAAAAACACGCATGGGATTGGTTTTTCCCCCTGTGCAAATGACCCACCTCTTTGCACCATGTGTATTTCGGCAAACAATAACTCCCCCCCTCCCAGGAATATGCAAGCTGCAACTGCATCTTCAGAACTGAGCAGAAAATTGGGAAAACCACAGCTGGGAAGTGCTACAGAAATTGAACTTCTTTGCATGCAATGCTGAATAATGCATAGATATACTAATCCAAATCTGGAAGTCAAACACAGGAGAAGGATGGGTTGCTAATACAGTCCCAAAACCTTGCAAAAGGCTGTCAGAAAATCTTGAACCTCAACAGCTGGGATGAACCTCAGAAATCTCATAACC